CCCCCCCCCCCCCCCCCTCTTTCTCATTTTTTTTTCATCAAAGAAATGTTTATAACGTTGTTTTTTGCGTACTTTTCCAGGTTTGACATTTAACCTTGTTTCACATAATTCCCACTACCTAAGATGAATGCAATCTCTTCCCACTAGTTATACGCCAACCCCCCAAAACCAACACACTTATTTGATGCAAAAACTTGAACAATTTTGTAAAAATAATGATCTAAAAACTAAAGTGTATAAATATTAAATAAGGATCCACTTTTACACAGTAAAAAAGAGTAGCAATTTTTTAATAATTAAAAATTAAATACATATTATTATTATGATCTTTTAGTTTAAATTAACGGGTTTTAACAATTTTAAAATGTTGATTGACACGATTTTTGCCTACTCGCGCTGCATTGGTTTTAATAATCGATTAATTTAAATAATTATTTTTATTTTAAAATTTGTTATACCTAAAGATTTATTTTAAATTTAATGTTGTAACGGTAAGCGGCCAGGTGAGAAAAATAACGCTCATACCTGGAGAGTTCCTATCTATGCTGTGACCTAATTTCAGATTTGTAATTTATCGCAGGTAATTTCTTTTCAAAGAGTAATTTTATTAATTTTTTTATATTCGCAATTCTTATATACACATTACTTATGATGGATTCCAGTAAAAACTATGGAATTTTTTTACACAAAGCCGTCACATAAATTCCTACTGGTGTTTAGTGATCGAAACAAGGCAGGTGGACCAGATTCAACTACTAAACAAAGTATAAAGCATACATAAAGCAATGTGAAACCCGGAAACAAACTCTTAAAGTTTACCTATTTTCGATAAACATTCATTTAATTTTATTAAACATTTCAAACAACAACAACGTTTATTGCTGATGTACTTTATGGCTTAATTAATGCTACATGCATTTTATATTCAATCTGTTTTTGTTTTCAACCTATCCTTTTCATATAGGCCAGGCTCATAGTTGAACTTCAAGTTGAATTACCACCATGTCCACACTTGTCCTCAGGTTACAAATTAAATTAGGGCAATTGGGTCTCTTACTCTCAGTGACAAAGTTCTTTTGTCACACCAAGACCAAGCCCCTCCTACTGACCTAGCCACTTTCCCAATAAACTGCAACTTTTTAATTTATATGTATTTAATTCCCAGATCTCAGCCACACCTGGGCTATAATTTATAGGTTTACCTGCCCTAACAAAATAATAATAATTCTATTATAATTAGTGGTCTTATATAGCGCGGTACCCCAGCCTAGGGCTGGGCTCACCGCGCTGTACATAAAAATATTAGCAAGAGACATAATCATGACATTAAAATAAAATACAATTATGAAATAAATAATAATTACTAGTCTAGAGTCTAGTGTATTACTATTTATTAATACATTTACAAAGGCAATGTATTAAGTCAGGTCTAGTTAGTTTTTAAGTAAGTATTTTTCACATTCACATCAGTGCGGTGCAACCTTTTTTTAATACACAAAGTGGCGATGGTCAAAGGGGTCATGGTGCACTACTGTCACATTTTTGTTTATGAAGCAAAGAAATCGCCACACCAGAAAGTTTGAAAATAATTGACTTAATGAACTTAATGGTATTGAAAATGGTTTTTGGTTTCTTAGATATAATATTAACACATCTAGAAACAACCTGAGGTGGGGGGGGGGGGACTTCTGATTCTGATAGGGAACGTTGCTGCTTCCTTGATCTGGCATTTGTGCAACGGTTAGGGAAAAGACTTAATGAACTTAATGGTATTGAAAATGGTTTTTGGTTTCTTAGATATAATATTAACACATCTAGAAACAACCTGAGGTGGGGGGGGGGGGACTTCTGATTCTGATAGGGTACGTTGCTGCATCCATGATCTGGCATATGTGCAACGGTTAGGGAAACAGCTCCTAGTGGGTGCCAGGGCAGCCTTGAAACTCTTGATTGATGTCGAGTTCCAAGCAATTATTGTTCATGGGAAGAATTATGGTTTATATTGGACTGTGTTACACCGAGGCACAGTAAAGCATTTACTATTGTTCAGGATGTAACTGCTCATGGAGTTGTCAGATGTGAAGTCAGTGTTTATTGAGCGTTTGGGTCTGATTAAGCGACCTGGCTTCTGTGGGTTGAGATATGTGTTAGCTGGGATCGCCGGCACTAGCTCTGTGACCACTTTATGTAAGAATGTTAGACAGAGCTTTTTTCATGTCTTTGAGGGAGGGGATGTCAAATCTTCTTAAGAGGTCAGTGACGAAGATAGGAGTGGTGGACCTGAAGATTTTTTTTAATGCTATTTGTTGTCTAATAAACATAACTTAAACTGTTTTCTATTTGAATTGTTTTTCCCTGCCTTTCTAATTTCTGTTGACAAAAACTTAGAATTATGCTTTTTGAGCTTACCACTCTTTGACATCAGTCATTGGAAAACACAGTGTATGGTCTGTCATTGGAAAACACAGTGTATGGTCTGTCATTGGAAAACACAGTGTATGGTCATTCAATGGAAAACACAGTGTATGGTCTGTCATTGGAAAACACAGTGTATGGTCTGTCATTGGAAAACACAGTGTATGGTCTGTCATTGGAAAACACAGTGTATGGTCATTCATGGAAAACACAGTGTATGGTCTGTCATTGAAAAACACAGGGTATGGTCATTCATGGAAAACACAGTGTATGGTCTGTCATTGAAAAACACAGGGTATGGTCATTCATGGAAAACACAGTGTATGGTCTGTCATTGAAAAACACAGGGTATGGTCATTCATGGAAAACACAGTGTATGGTCATTCATGGAAAACACAGTGTATGGTCTGTCATTGGAAAACACTGTGTATGGTCATTCATGGAAAACACAGTGTATGGTCTGTCATTGAAAAACACAGGGTATGGTCATTCATGGAAAACACAGTGTATGGTCTGTCATTGAAAAACACAGGGTATGGTAGCGCATTAAAAATTATTTCAAAATGGTTCCTGTATAACCTTTAACAGTTACAAAATATTCACATGCCTGACATACCTTATTCCAAGACTCTTCTGGAGTCATTCATTTTGTCAGCATCTTAATTTTAGTTACCCCCACCTTAAAAATAATTACCTTCACCTTGCTAATTATTTTTGACAGGTTAATTAAGTAATGCTCTCTTCATTATTAATCAATCAATGAAATTAGGATGACTGTATTTCACTGTATTTCATACGTCAAACTTATGTTTCAATTTACGGGATCACATCTCACATGTCATAGCAGGCTGAATCAGTAGCTATTAAAGTTGGACCGATGACTTTCATTATATTTCTATATCTTTCTTTTTTTAAATATATATATATAAAGCTTAATATTTTTAATAATTTATTTTTTATGTATTTAAACATTTCAAACTCAAGTGACAAACTTAATAACTACTATTTTATTTGTAAGATCTTGATTGATTTATATCAAATTAATGTAAATCTTATTTTTAAAAAAAAATTCAGTTTGCATCATGGGGCTTGCTGAAACATCGACAGCATGGATGATATCCTTCTTTCTCATGTTCATCGGTAAGTATGTAACTCGGTAATGTTTAGAAATCATATTGACACAATGATTGTTTTATTATACCTCTCATCCTAAGCAGTGTTGAATTAATGAATATTTTTTGAGAGATGGTAGCATCTGATTTAATGGACCTATAAATTATTTTAAGACAAGGGTCCATTACACGCATGTGCCTACTTAAGTTTTGCCTCAAGGCACACCAAACAGTCATTGGGTTCTGATGTTAAATACACCTATCATCATGTTGCTCGCTGTACAGGCTCTCAAAAAAGATCCAGAATCAGGGATGTGAAGAGGTGTGATAATCTATAACGATAACTAAATGACCTTCTGTCACCATCAGTGATGTGAAGACGTGTGATCACCAATAACGATAACTAAATGACCTTCTCTCACCAGGATTCTTCATGATGATAGCAGCTGTGGCCTCCTCTTACATGGCAGCCTCCGACATCATTCCAAACAGAGAGCGTCACATCGGCTTCTGGGATATGTGCGATGACACCTTGACCTACGGCTGCAAGGACATGACCGAGTACCTTCATTATCTGGGCCAAGGTTATGGTGAGTTCATGTTTTAACATGTGCTAAACATTTTATTGTATTTCAGTCATACGCATATGGTAAACTAACTTTTGCTTTTGCAGATTGAAGAAAACTGGATTTGAGTCAACTTCATCATAAAATTTGACTGTTAAAAAATTGTAAGAACATTGTTTGCTATTCCGTAATAATATTGACTACAAACTATTTCACATTTTTCAGAAAATTAAATTTTTAGTAGCCCTATAATTTTTATTTTGGTTTTATTTCTTCAAATTAATTTTTTTTTCTGAAGAGGTCACCTGGGCAGTGCTGTCAAAACACATGTCCTTACATTCTAGAGGGTTCCAGTTCAATGCCCCGCCTATGCCTGATATTCAAATAAGACTTTTTTCCTCCCTAAGTAAAACCCACCTCCCCCCAAAATTCCCTGGGGGTGGGGATTTTAATCCCTCTCCACTCATGCCGCAACTCAACTCAGATTGGAAACAAAATCCCTCTCCACTCATGCCGCAACTCAACTCAGATTGGAAACAAAATCCCTCTCCACTCATGCCGCAACTCAACTCAGATTGGAAACAAAATCCCTCAACACAATGTAGATGCCCCTGCCACCACTCATCCACTTTACACCACTCATCCACTTTACACCACTCATCCACTTTACACCACTCATCCACTTTACACCACTCATCCACTTTACACCACTCATCCACTTTACACCACTCATCCACTTTACACCACTCATCCACTTTACACCACTCATCCACTTTACACCACTCATCCACTTTACACCACTCATCCACTTTACACCACTCATCCACTTTACACCACTCATCCATTTTACACCACTCATCCACTGTCTGTTCCCTAGTTTTAAAGGTTATTTTTGTCCATGTTTCTCTCAGACTGGGTCCATGGCTGCCGTGCTTTGGTCATCATTGGAATAATCATCGAGGGCTTCTCTGCAATCATCTCCCTCTATATGGCCTACATGGTGTCTGGGACACATCTTGGCAACTTGATCACTGCTGGTGGAAATATTGTGTCAGGTATGTCACCGTGGTACAACCAGAGTCAAATGTCCCAGGAGTTGGGGTGTCATCCTGGTACAGCAAGAGTCAAATGTCCCAGGGGGTTGGGGTGTCATCCTGGTACAGCCAGAGTCAAATGTCCCAGAGGGTTGGGGGCAGTTGGATCTCAAATTTAAAATAGATTACTATTTGAATAATTGTTTATTGTTGACAAAAGAATTATGCCGAACCCCCTATCTTTAGATGCAGACTTTATTGGGAACTTGTTAAATGATCCACAGAAAGATATTACCGTTACTACTTAAGTGAGTATAGATGAACTCAACTTGTAGACAGCCTTTTTTAACTTCATCACGAAACCTGCTATTGGTCGCAAATTATCACATAAACACCGTTACCTGATTTGAAGCAAGCAATTTTCCGCATTGAAAAAATTTGTCCAGGTGTTGAATGCTTTGTTACTCTTCCTCTTCCAGTCATCTTCAATCTGATTGGTGGAATAGTCTTTCTGGTCAACGCCATGGACGTTCTGGAGACGACGCTCGAGATGGACTCTGACCCCTCCTGGTCCTTTGCCCTCCTCATCATCGCCCAAGGCTTTTATCTCATCTCTGCCATTCTACTCATCTTCGACGCCTGCACATCCAACTAGTGCTCCCTCGCCAGGTGTGTGCATGCAGAGAATGGATCCAGAGCAAGAATGTTGTTAACTAACTTGTTACGAATGCAATATCCTTTTACAGGAATCTTGAGTCAATGAACACATTCTATCATTGTGGTTGTGAAAGAACATTAATTGGTAAAAAGGGGGCTGGGGGACCAAACTGACCTTAGCATAAGTATGTAAGCAAGAGTAAATCCCAAGGCTGGTAAGTTGATGAAGTTCGAGACTGTCATTCACGGTCAATGTATAATGCTGGTGGGTATTTGGTGGGAAAGTTTCAATCCGTCAGCAGCAGGCTTTTTTTTGTTTACAAATGATGTTTGAAGATGGATCATGTGATGGATCATGTAGAAACATTGATCAGCATAAACAATTTCTGTAAATATTGCTCTGTGTTACACCATAAAGATTTCATTTGATTTTTGTAGTTTGTGAGATCTTATCGCTATTGAACAAACAAAAGACAGATGATGATAACTCCCGGCCTTTGTCAAATATAAAAGAAGGAAATTATTGAGTCAATGTTTAGTGTTATTAAAGATTATGGACATTGGGGGGGGGGGGGGGAAAAAAAAAAAAATTTTTTTTTAAATTTTTTTTTTTTTTTAAACACATACAAACATTCCACTGTATTTAATGATAGGCAATACAGCAGGTTCTTTTATACTCTTTGTACATCTGACTTGAGTGTGTAGAGTTGGGCTGAAATCATTGACATCATTCATTGTGTAAATCTGTATTTTAAAATTTTTCTAATCTGCTCAAAATTGTAAAAAGTAGACAGATATCTTCAGTATTTAACCGATTTTTTTTTTTTTTTTTTTTTGGGGTCATGTTAGTAATGAAATCACTTATTTAAAATGTGTTGCTCACGTGTTGTGATGAAACAATAGCTGTATAATTATTATTTAAGATTGAGATAATGTGGAGTAGAAAGGCTTGAGGTTAATCAATACTTAAAATTTTTGAATTTTTTTGTTCTCTACACCAGTGGTCCCCAAATGGCGGTCCGTGACCTTCACCCGTCCGCAGGCCTAACGCTGCCGGTCCCCATAACATAAATATTTATTGTCAAAAATAGAAATAAAAGTATAAAAATAAATCATACACCGGTCCTTGGTAAAATTTCGAAACTTGTTCACCGGTCCGCCAAACTTAAAAGCTTGGGAACCACTGCTCTACACCATTGAAAATCTGTATAGAATTCAAGTTATCCTAAGTTCATTTCTGTTTCAACACACACAAATGTTAGCTGGAGGGGCAGAATACATTTTTGCATTATCTTAAAGAAATCTATTGCCACCTGAGCAAATATGATGTTTGATAAATGTTTATTAATTATTATTTCTAGTTGTTTCGTACATGGCAAATTAAAAAAGTTATTTATATCTGTTGGGAAGTAAAAAAAAAGAACAAACCCTTCTACCTCTCCTTTAGGGTAAGTGAATGCACACATTCCATTGTAAATATTTCTTTGAACCTTATACATTGGAGAAATTCACTTTTTCTACCAGAAAAATTAGACAAATTATTGTAATTATTCTGAGCCCGACAAATGGTTGTTATGAGAGAAAGTTTATTTATGTAATTGACACAACACAATCTTTCTTACCAGAGGACTTTTCTATATCTCTAGACTAACTATTCAAGAGGAAAACATAATGCCAGGTACTGTAATACTTGGAGAGCAAAATAAGCATTACTTCCCTTGATTCTACCAATTAAACATCCTTCAAATCAAGTTTTAAATTTATGTTCATAACGCTATTCATTGATGCAAATTACAATATAATTGCTGGTATCTGTTAAAATTGTTTTGGTGATGTCACTGATTCACTTGTTAAAAGTTGTCATCTCATAATATGAACAGACTTAATTTCTTCCATTTTTTTTTTTTTTTCTAATATAATTGAAATAAAAATGTGCAGACTTGTATATTTCATATACCGGTATATATTGTTAAGGATATACATATATAGAAATTTAGTCTTTTATAAGATTGAGATTTAAATTAGAAGTTGAACATAATTAATTATGGAGCATAGACTTATTTTCCAAACATATTAGTTCATGACCATGAAATTTGTGGATGGTTCTTTTTTTTAAAAAAATTCGAAATGAAAATTTTAAAACAAAAAATTAAACCAGGTATTTGTTACACAAAGACCTGGACACATGTAATTAAGTGCAGGGCAAATACCAAGATCAAGAAACATAAATGAATTTGATTAATCTCCAAGAGCCATCACATCACACATGGGGGCCTTCTGACACTTTTCTGTTTTGTGCCCCCCCTGAATTCAAAGTTGAGAGTTAAATTCTGTCCACTTTGATAACTTTGGGCCCCTTAAATATCTGAGACTGCAGGGGTTGCGGGGCCCAGGCGACAGCTCTGGAGACTCACCTAAATTTGCTCTTATTAACCATGTGATTGCTGGTTGACTGCTGATTGATTACCTGGAACATCACTCATCAACATCACATATTGCTTGTCATGGCATGGATGTCAAGATGTCATTGATTCCATCTTGTTGTTAATTCTGATTAACGTCAACAGCGTACAGTGGTCTAACATCTGAATGGATGGATTTTTGTATTACCGGTAGTAAATCCTTTGTCCAATTCTAGAGTTTCTTCATCACGTTAAATCAAGGGAGCCACCAACTGTGCTTCATAAAACTATTTTGAAAAAACACATTTATTAATTTTTAGACAAAAAAATGGGATGAGTTAATTTTTAAAATACATATAAATATAAATATATTGTCCATCAAAATCACATTCAGCCACTTATAGGTCCATCTATTGCCCAGTGGTCTTGTGTTGCTCATGGGTCATGTGTTGCACACCGGTCATGTGTTGCACTTTGGCCTTGGGTTTTGGGAACACCAGTCAACCATAACTGTATAATATATTTTTTTTGTTGTACACTTAGATAACAATTCCAGCAGCAAAAAACTTCATATTTCTAAATCCATTTTTTTGTCCAACTACTTGTACATTCCACAATGTTGCCCAATGCATTTTATGCTACAATAATTAAAACCTATTTGATCTTATTTTTAAAAAAAATTGCTCCATATATTTTAAATACAATCTTGTACATAAATAAACCATCTCAAATAATTTGATTTCTTTGTTATGTATGGAGTTTCAATGCCCTTTTTTGTGTGTTTTTGTTTCCCTTCTTCTATGTATTTGTTAGATCAGACATTATACTGCCATCCGTCTGGTGTAGACCTAACACTAACAGGACCAAATCACAAAGGCCAGGGATTATTTTTTAGGAGGCTAAGCTGGTTCCCTGGACACAACGCACCCGGATAACCCAAGGGAACATTATGTGTCGATGATGCAGCTTGGCTCCCGTGGTGCCGCAGGAGTTGTCAGAATTTGTCATTGTGTCAGTGTCATGCCGCCCACGGGACTCCTTGTTTCGGTTGAAGGTCAGAGTTGTCTTTCTCTTAGATGAGTTTCCATCTGTGGGCAGCAATAGAAGTACACTTCTATTGCTGCCCACAGATACTACTTACCAGCTAAGTGCTATTTCTTATTTTTATACCGTTTTTTATGTTGTTTTGTTCGCTGACGAAGGCTTTCTGCCGACACGTTCGCTGTTTTGTTGCGTTTATTTTTTCTTCAGGTTTAACCCTACTCTGTTTTACTCATTTTATTTCATAAGAAAAAAAAGTATGCTAAATAGTATAAGGGAGACAACTGACGAAAGTCAGAAATAGGAAGTATACAGAGTCGTCTCTCTCTCTCTCTCTCTCCCCCCCCCCAACGCAATATTTTTGTTAAAACATAAATAACGGACGAAGCCAAAACGAGGTGAGAATTCTAATCACAGGCATGGGGTGTTAAAAGAAGTACCGGTACCCTGGAATTTAATCGAAAGCCGGGCGCCGAACTCTTGTAGCCATAGCAACTGCCCAGCTCCATTTAACCGATTAAGACATTACTATTTCATGAGTTGGGGGAAATCATATGGAAAACAGGCTAGCCATAAATCAAGTGTCTGTCAAGGCTGGACATATATATACACTTTTAAGGTGCGCTAAGGTTGATGACCTTGAACGGTTGAGTGAAACTATAAGTACATACTCACCCATTTCCAGGAGAGGACCTGTTTAACGACTTAGGGAAAAACAAACTCTTTTACCTAACACAGGGTAAATGTTATTTTTTAAATTGTTTTTTTTGTTTTTTAAGGGAAGGTAATAACTAATATTATCGTTTCTTGTGGGTTGTGAAATTGAACAGAGGACGATTTGATGAAATCTCTTAAAATTATTTGTCACAAAATATTTAAAAAATGTACAGGATTGGATGATTTTCGAACTTCTTAATTCTACAAACACGATAGTGAATTGATAGTGAATGCACACCGCATTTAAGATTTTGGGTAGGAGAGTTTGTTTTTTGTTTTTTTTTGGGGGGGGGGGAGTGGGGGTGCGATAGGAAGAAACAAACGATAGTGAATTCACACNGAGGGGGGACAATTTGGAGGGAGGTAAGACAAGCAACTAAGCCAAGAATGAGCCGATGTAATGGGAGATAATAGGCGCGTGTACACTCCACCTCATCAAAAATGGATGCCCAGAACTCGCGATTATCCTCTGTGGCGCGCCCCGCCATTAGCTGAGTAGCAGGCCATGGTAGGGGATTATTTGTATAAGCAAGTTGGCGAGCTGACCCATTCATGGGCGTAGCAAAAGGGAAGGTTGGTTCCATACGAAACGATCATAATAGAAATTATATGAAAGCCTTATTTAGATTGTGATGTGACGGCATTTGATATATACATTTTAATTAAATAAAAGTTCAGTTCATCAAATCAGAAATTAATCGCATGGCTTCAGGATAATATAATATAGGCTATTTATGAAGCCTTTAAACAAACCACGTCAAAATACCCCAGGGGTCAAATCCTGGGAAAGACGGAAATCCACCCCCTTCTACACCACCATTTTTAATAGTAAACACCACACCACCAAAAAAAATATTTATTTATTTATTAGCACCAAAAAAAACCTGAAGTACAGGAACGCCGTTCCCATGCGTTCCTGGGGGTCTCTGGCCTTGTATTTATACACATGCTAACGGAGCTCTCATTGCCATGAACTTTTTTTGTGTGGCCATTTTTGTACAGGGCATTTACTCCAAAACTCTCATTACAAGCATAGGTCTATAATATTATAAGGGCACAGCTGTTCCCCCGAGTGACACTGACACTTTACGGTCGTGATCATTGTTAAAAATGAGTGTAAGAGGTCAAGAATAGGACTCATCACTTTCGTGAAGTTGTTACTCGTATATAAGGTTGTCAATAATCCCTTTGTAGTCGGGGTTGGGTGGGGGGGGGGGCAAAAAAAAAAAAAAGAAGAAAGATTACGAATGATACAATTAAATAACTTCAATAAAAATTTTCCCTTTTGGGATTTTTTGTCAGAAAAAAAAAAGAATTTCTGATTTTGTTTCTGTAAGAAAAAAAATAAAATCCTTATATATTTATATATATTGATATACATAACTATATATAATAATAATAATAACAA